AGGGGTTCGACACAGACACGCCACTGAGGCATCACTCAGCCCTGGGAAATCCAGCCCGAGTGTCAACATTCTGGCAGAGGGAAGTGCTAGAATGCTTATTTGAAGATGTCTGAGCAGACTTGTTTGAGAGACAGCTGGAGTTGTGAAGTAATCCTGGTGTCTCCCCAGTCTCGGTTTGAAGGCAGGCTTTGCCCGCGGGCCTCTGACCTCTAACGTCCTTCTATTATTGTTGCCAATTGACAAAACTTTGCTTAAGACTTGGGGATGACAGAAGTCAGCACAGAGAGGAGCTTGTAATTGCTACTAGAAGGGCTATTCTTAAGACCCTCCCTCCCTGGGACTGAAGCCAGATCAGGTTGAGATCGTGGGGGCTGAATGCCTGGGCCAGAAATGTGGTATCAGGTGCAGGCCGTTTCCTCCACAAACTGACCCAGCGGTCCCAGCGGCCCCTGGGAGCCACAGCCTCCAGCCCCAGTGGCAGTGCCGACCCACGGGGAGGAGTTATAGGCTGTTGCTCAGCGGCCCCGGCCTGGAAGCGGGCTCCGGGAGCCCGTCGGCACAGCCCAGGCGGAATGAGGCATAATAGCAGGATACTCAAGTTCCAGGGAGAACAAAAACACAAAGGATGCCAAAGGACTGTTGGAAGAAGTATTCAGGTCTGTAAAGCCAGGCCTGCGAGTGAGAGTCGGCCAGACCACAGAAGAGGAGGGTCTGGAGCCACTACTGCCACCTTTGTCACCCAGCTTCCCCGCTAGCTTATCTGCCACACCCCCAGCCCCTGAGAGGGGTGTCACACTGCAGACCAAGCACAGTGGGCCAGCACCCTCTCAACCAGCCCTTTTGTTTTAGAAAGCCCTCCCCCCAACATGGGCACTGAGGGCTGCCAGGCACAGCGTCCTTGCACCCCTGGCTACAGAGATCAGCTTGGGAAAGGGTGCTCAACCTGACCAGGTTGATCAGCTCCTTAGCTGGGATTCTGCCTACAGGTCACAGGAGACAGAGGCCTTTCTTTACCCTGGAGTCACTAAGCGGGGTAATACAATCCTAGAGTTGTCAGTCTTTCCATCCCCCACATGCACGTCCAACGTGAGGGAATGAGGCCAGCACAGAGAGGAGCAGAGGCCCAGTGACATTTTTGGTGTTTCTGGATCCAGTTGCTCCTGAAGCCCTCCCTACTCTTCCTATCAGTTACATGAGCTAAGTCATTTCTGCCTTTCTTCTTAGGCTAGTTTGAGTTGGGCTTCTGTTTCTTCTTTTAAAAATGGGTCCAGACCTGGCGCTGTGGCTCACGCCTGTAATCCTAGCACTCTGGGAGGCCGAGGCAGGAGGATTGCTTGAGCTCAGGAGTTGAGAGCAGCCTGAGCAAGAGTGAGACACTGTCTCTACTAAAAAATATATATAGAAAGAAATTAGCTGGACAACTAAAAATATATATAGAAAAAATTCACCAGGTATAGTAGCTCATGCCTGTAGTCCCAGCTACTTGGGAGGCTGAGGCAGAAGGATTGCTTGAGCCCAGGAGTTTGAGGTTGCTGTGAGCTAGGCTGATGCCATGGCACTCTACCCTGGGCAACAGAGTGAGACTCTGTCTCAAAAAAAACCCAAAATGGATCCAAGCTAGGCATGGTGGCTCACACCTGTAATCCCAGAAGGCTGAGGTGGGAGGATCACTTGAGGACAGGAGTTTGAGACCAGCCTGAGCAACATAGCAAGAACCTATTAATATCTCTACAACAATTTAAAATTAGCTGGGCATGGTGGCACATGCCTACAGTTCCAGCTACTTGGAAGACAGAGGCAGGAGGATCACCTGAGCTCAGGGATTTGAGGTTACAGTGAGGTATGATGACATCACTGCACTCTAGCCCGGGCAAGAAAGCAAGACACTTACCAAAAAACAGGGGTGGTGTCCTAATCAATGTACTGTATGAGCCTCCTCCTCCCCCAGTCACAGTCAGTGTGAGCAAGAGTGGACACCTGACCTAAGGAAACCAGGCCACAGGCTAGCTAGGCAGACTGAGCCAGGCAGAACCAATCTGTCTCTCTCTCTCATATTCAAACTAAGAGGTCGAGATTACAGTCTGATGGCTAGAACTAAAGATTGTATAGATTCAGGACTAGGAAAATAGTCCTGACCATTTGATCAGGGACTCATTGATGAAAAAAAGAAGAAAACTGGTCTGCCGAGATAAATAGGGCTGAGAAGAGAACCATACGGACAAATGGAGAGAGAAACAGAAAGGGAGGAGACATAATTTTCCCAATTCCTGAGCCCCAGTGTGCATCCTGCCCTTATTTTCTGTGACATTCTCTGAACCCCTACAAAATACCCTGCGCCTTAGGCTTTTTTTGGGGGTATAACTCATAGAAACCCACCCAGGCTAACTTAGGCAAAAGGGTAGTCATTATAAGGAGGCAGGTGTCTCCTGGAACCCGAAGACAGATGGCATACCTGGACCACAGGATGACCTAAAAGCCAGACTGCCCTTCTCTTTCTGGGCCCCATGGTCTCAAGCATCTTACTTGAGGCCAACTTCCTTCAATTCTTCATGTGCATGAGGCTGAACATGGCTGTTCGTAGCCTCAGAGTGTCCAAGTTTAAGTGGCCATGGAGATGTTCTGATCACTCTCTAGTCCTTGTCCAAATGCCCAGGAGAAAGGCTCTGGCAGGCCCAGTCTGGGTCAGGGTCTACCTGCTGTAGTCAGCCATGTCTAGTGGAGTGGGTCACACTGAACCCGTCAGCTGCAGCTCAACTCCAAGGGAGGGTCAAAGAGGAATCCTCTACAGCTGTGCTGATCAAGCTACTTTGGGTGGGTTTCCATTCTCACCATTGAACAGAGCTGACTAAAGCAATTGCCAATAGCTTTGGGATGCGTGTTTGCCCTTCACCTCTCCCTATCGGAAGTGTGTGGCTCAAGGGTATATGTAGCTGAATGGAAGGACCAGTTCTTCCTATATGAGTGACATGAACATTTTTCCGCAATGGCTCTTATGAACAACTAGAATCCATGGTGGTGGTGGTTGTCTCTCCCCTTCCCCTGCCGCCTACCACCATCCCCGAGGGAGAACTAGCCAGCGACATATTATCTGGACTCTTCATACATCCTGTGGAGGGTGGCAAAGACTCCTACAGAACATTCCAAAGACAGACTCCTATCTGGCATGTATGTGACTGATCATAACTTGTCCTTTCAGGAAGGACAAATACCAATATTTCACCACCTTTGGACAATCCTAGAACCATGCAGACTCAGCACGGAATGGCGAATTCTAGAAGTTGAAGATGATTCTGCAGATTCCACTAGAGATGGGAAGCAGGGCTGTAGAGGGTGGGTAGGTCAGAAAGAGTCTCAGGTACCCTTTCACTTCTGCACTTAGGACTCTAAAGACAGCAGTTCTACCCAGATTCCAGAGATTTTCTTTCCAGAGCATCAAGTCTGCCTGGTAGAGGCCCTGTGGTATCTCTTTAACTTCTCTCTTTCTTCCACGATTACTTGGCAACAGGTGCCCTAGATCAGGCCCAGGGGTGGGAGCTGCCTCATGGAGCACTGGCAGCTTGAGGCTCAAAGTGGTGGCTCACACCTGTAATCCCAGCACTTTGGGAGATCAAGGTGGGAGGATTGCTTGAGGCCAAGAGTTTGAGACCAGCCTGAGCAATATAGCAAGATCCTGTTTCTACAAAAAATAACAAAATTAGTCAGGTATGATGGCATGTGCCTGTAGTTCCAGCTACTTAGGAAGCTGAGGCAGGAGGATCACATGAGCCTAGGAGTTCAAGGTTGCAATGAGCTATGATTGTGCCACTGCATCCCAGGCTGGGCAACAGAGCAAGACCCCATCTCAAAACAAAAAAGTAGGGGAAGAAAGTGAATGTTTCTCATTCAGTGTTGCTATTCTAAACTAAAAATATAGCTTATGTTAAAGCAGAAGCACATAAATACTGTCTAATCTAAATCTAATGTTCCCCTTCAACGTGAGCAGGATACACTTTCCTAAATCATCCTGAGCCTATCTCGGCTTGTCCAGGGCCCAGTCTCCCGTTGGCCTCCAGGGCCCAGTGGGCAGCCTCCATGTGGCTTCCGGCTTCGTGCTGGCAGGAGACACGTGACTGCAGGGATGCTTCTGTCGGCCAAGGATGTGTTCCAACAACACACTTCATCAGCAATGAAAGAACTGCCGCAACAGCCTCAGTGGCACAGGGAGGAACCCGAGGGTTGCAATGCAAACACATCATGAACTACTGAAACGATGACCTAAACAGGGACAGACAGTTACCAGGAAGGAAACTGTAGGGACTTGGGGAAAGAAAAAAGGAAAGGGTAAAGGTAAGGCAGGATCTTGGCCAAGTGATGGAGTAGCACATCTCACTGCTGACTCATGTTGCTTGTTAGTACCCCAGTGTGATGTGACGAGAAGGGCGCTTCACCTCCGTGGTCATCCTCCCCAAACCCATGAGAGAGTCTGACCATGAGAAAACCGCCGCACAGACCCAGATGGAGGCACATCCTACAAAACACCTGACCTGTCCTCATTGAACCCATTAAGGGAATAAAAAATAAGGAAAGTCTGAGAAACTGACACAGAGAGTTAGAAGATGTGACGACTAAATGTAATGTGGTATTCCTGGTGGAATCCTGAAACAGAAAAAGGATATTAGTGGAAAAACTAGTGAAACTGAATAAAGTGGGGAGATTAGTTAATAGCAACCTACCAATGTTGTCTGCTTAGCTGGGACAAATGAACCACCATGATGTAGACATCAACAACAGAGGACACCAGGTGGGGGCTACGTGGGAGCTCTCTGTACTATCTTGCAACTTTTCTATGAATTTAAAACTATTCTAAAATAAAAACATAAAGCAGGGTTGTAGGGGAAGGTTTGGAAGGCAGAAGCCCTGGGAAATGTGAACGAGGGCCAGAGAGGCTGCCGGTCTTTGAACAAAGCAGGCACCCTGAGGAAGAGGCTCCCCGCGCATAAGGTTAGCGAGCTTTGCCTTACCTGCGGATGCGGGAGAGCGGCCCGGCACTCAACTTCTCCAACTTCACTGTGCCCGAGAAGCTCGCAGGGAAACTTGTCGAAGCGCAGGTTCGGACTCAGCAGGTCTGGGCGGGGCCACCGTTGGGCTTTTCTAACTGGCTCCCAGGCGCTGATGCTCCCACGACCACTCTCTGAGCTGCAAGAAGCTGGAGAGTGGGACGTCACCACTCACCTGGAGGGAGGGAAGACATGCTGAAAGGGCAGGCTGCAGCCTTGAAGTCGCAGGTTCCCAGCCTTGCCCGGCTCCCAGCAGAGACCCAGCGAGGAGAGCAGAGCGCAGGCGCCATCCACAGCCTCAGGGAGGGGGTCTAATTCTGGGTGTCCCCTGCAAACTGCCACACCGGGCAAGTGCCTCACCCCACCCCCCGCTTCAAGCGCTGTCTGTACAACGGGCGTGGGAACTCCTAACACCGACGCCTCCAGGTGGCTCTGGGGACCGAATGCGGACTCGGGCGCCACCGGCTCCGCACAAGCTGCAATGACTGAGGCACCTGCCTCCAAAATAGTTTCGCGTGCTTTACCAAGACTGTGTTTCTCTGTTTTATCATCAGCATGGCTGTGCTCTCACGAGGCGGTTTTGCTTATTTGTTTGGTCGGTCGGTCAGTCGACAGACACGCACTGCAAGTCCACCACAGGCGTGCGAAGGACTGGCCGCCTCACGTCTCCCTCCTCCTGGGACGCGGGCTTGCAGGACGCTAGGGCTGAAGAGAAGCAAGAGGCCGGTCGGAACTTTCCTCCACTTTCCAGGGCAGAAGTCCTGGTCCGTCCTTTTAAAGCCTCCGTTCTTCTCTCACGCTGACGACGCGCGCGGGCGGGGCCCCGCGGAAGAGAGACCCCCGCGCCTCGCCTCTCCCCTGGCGCCCCCTGCTGGTGACGGCGTGGGTGCCTCGACGTCTCCCGCCGCCGGGACCTGGGCCCTCTCTCTAGCTGCGGGCTGCAGCCCACACCTCGGTCCTCGGACTTGCAGCTCTGTGTTCAAGCTTAACTTGTGCGAACGCATTTATATACGCACAAAGGAGTCTTACGATCCAATCAAGGTGATTTCTTCTCGGCAGATGTGAGGAAAAGAGAAGGAAGTCTACGCTGTTGGCCTCCATTGGGTCATAGACTTTAGGAGTCTGTGTTCAAAGCTCTGCCGCCACCACCCAGAAAAACGCGCTGAAGCACATAGTCACACAACTCTGCTCCCAAGTGCGGGGAATTCTGGAGATGGGGTTAAGAATGCCAGGTCTAGAGGCTTCTATAACACAGCCAGACAACAGGGTAAAGTGATGGGTATGACTAAGGCGCCCAGTTTTCAGGGACAGCAACACTGTCCCTGCACCCTCAAGTTGCCAACTCCATCAGAGGCCACCCATCCACCATCCACCGGGATGTAGGCCGAGCCAGCCCGGGTCAGGGTGCAGGCTCACCGCCTGGCAGCCCTGGCAGCTGCTCCTCTGGGACCCTTGGGAATCTCAGCGCACCGTGGCCAAGGCGCATTGTGCTCCCACTGCCAGGGGCCCCCGAGCGCCCTCCCGTCTAACTCTAACGCTGAGCCTTCATCCTCTTGGACTCAGACAAGCACAAAAAATAACACACCTTTTCTCTCAGCACGGAAGTCCATAGACCTTTACTAGGAGCCCAGAGTAGCCACATGCAGAAAATGGTCCCAGGCTCCTCCCTGACCCCAGATCCTGGCCACAAGCTGGCAGCTCTGGGGCTTGGTTTCTCCTCTCCCAGCTCCCTGTCCTTGTCTCAAAGCCCTTCCTTCTTAAATTAGCCCTTCATTGCTTTCTTTTCTCATGCTCCCTTTTACTTCTCCTGCTGTCCCTGTTCTCCCTAGAGGCTGAATATGAGAGAGATTCAGCTGCCCCCAGAAAAAGAGAAGAAACTGCTCTTTCCCCACCCTTCCTTCCTTCCTTCCTTCCTTCCTTCCTTCCTTCCTTCCTTCCTTCCTTCCTTCCTTCCTTCCGAGACGGAGTCTCACTTTGTTGCCCAGGCTAGAGTGAGTGCTGTGGCGTCAGCCTCACAGCAACCTCAAACTCCTGGGCTCAAGCAATCCTCCTGCCTCAGCCTCCTGAGTAGCTGGGACTACAGGCATGAGCCACCATGCCCGGCTAATTTTTTCTATATATATTAGTTGGCCAATTAATTTCTATTTATAGTAGAGACAGGGTCTCGCTCTTGTTCAGGCTGGTTTCAAACTCCTGACCTGGAGCAATCTGCCCGCCTCGGCCTCCCAGAGTGCTAGGATTACAGGCGTGAGCCACTGTGCCGGCCTCCTCCTTATTTCTTTAGCATATCGGGGCTGGGCATGTGGTCACATGGCTAAAGATTATGCTTCCCAGTGTCCCTTGCAGCTTATGTGAGGCTATACAACTAAATTCTGACTGAAGGCTGGGAAGAAGTCAGATGTATGCCTCTTCTGGGTTATGTCCTTAAATGGAATGAGTGTGTGCTCCCCTCACTCTTCCCTTTTTCCCAGTGACTGGGAGACAGACATGATGGCAGGAGCTAGAGCAGCCACTTTGAGCCAACTGATGGGAACTACCATGGACCTCAAACAGTGACTGACCATGACTGACTGTAGTAGGTGCTCAGTAAATAATTTTGGAGGAACTTAACTCATTTAATCCTCACAACTGTCCTATGAGGTAGGTTCTGTTATCAACCCAACTTTAGAGATGAGGCACCTGAGATACAGGCTGAGTAATTTCTGTAAGGCCACCAAGAGCAGGATTTGATCCTAGGCAACATGGTTCCAGAATCTGGCTTTTAATTCTTGGCTGGGCAAGGTGGCTCACGCCTATAATCATAGCACTCTGGGAGGCCAAGGCAGGAGGATCCTTTGAGCTCAGGAGTTCGAGATCAGCCTGAGCAAGAGCAAGACCCCATCTCTACTAAAAATAGAAAGAAATTAGCTGGACAACTAAAAATATATAGAAAAAATTAGCTGGGCATGGTGGCGCATGCCTGTAGTCCCAGCTACTCGGGAGGCTGAGGCAGGAGGGTTGCTGTGAGCTAGGCTGACACCACAGCACTCTAGCCGTGGCAACAGAGTGAGACTCTGTCTCAAAAAAAAAAAAAAAAAAAAGACAGCATGTGTGAGGGAGAAGATGCCTATCCCACTTAGCCTTCACATTTGGGGGCTTTGTTACAGTAGCTTAGAAATACTTTAACACACCCTCTGTGCCACCCCACAAGTAAACGTAAGTCTCCACCCTCCAAACCCTGAGTGCAAACCTCTCTGAGGCTAAGAGCCAAGCAAGCAGAATCCTGGGAGGCTTCTGAGGGGCTCTAACTGGCTCCATTTGTTTCCACTCCAGGCTGTATATTATTAAAAATCAGAAAATCCCCATCCCACTTAGGTCAGCAGCTGCTGAAGCACCTGTGCATAATCACAAACCCTCCCTTTCTTCCACCCTGTCAACACAAAGACAGGGGTACGCATGCACCCCAGTGAGAAAACAGCCCTTCTACTCTCCCCAAAAGGTGGTGGTTTTTCTGAATTATTTGAATTAACTAACATTTCAATAGTTTTGCAGGTTATAAAGTACCACCATGGAATATCAGCACGGAAAGATATCCATATATTTTTTTTTATTTTTTTATTTTTTGAGACAAAATCTCACTCTCTTGCCTGGGCTAGAATGCTGTGGCGTCAGCCTAGCTCACAGCAACCTCAAACTCCTGGGCTCAAGCGATCCTCCTGCCTCAGCCTCCCAGTAGCTGGGACTACAGGTGCACACCACCACACCCAGTTAATTTTTTCTGTTTTTAGTAGAGACAGCGTCTCGCTTTTACTCAAGCTGGTCTCCAACACCTGACCTCAAGTGATCCTCCTCCTTTAGCCTCCCAGAGTGCTAGGATTATGGCCTAACCTGGCCACCAAGATATATTTTTAACCAAAGAAAGAAAACTTCAGAACAGGGTGCATGTTCTATTCTTGTTTCTACACATATATGCACACATCTATATGCTTATAAAACTGTAAACCCCTCTCTGGAAATTCTGGCTACTCATAATCACTGCAGTAATGGAACAGGTCTTAGTGTCACCTTCATTTTACAGATGAAGAAAATGTGGCTGAGAGAGGTTCAGGAACAGCTAGAACGAGTGAGACTCATGCAATGTTCTCCTGCCTGGCACCTTGAAGCCCTGCTCTTTCAATTTGTTCTGCCTCCTATGGTTCCAAGTCATTCTAGGTGATGGTCCCCATAATCTGCCCAGCTCACTACTGCCCATCCCAAACTTGGAAGAAAACCAGAGATAAGGGGGTCTCTGGAAGGGTTTTTCCAGGAGGGCCTCACTGCCTGCTTATGATCAAAACACTAGATATTTCAGGGGTGGTCTCACCCAAAGGGACAAAAAAGTCTCAATATCCTGCAGACCAAAATAAAAATGCAACAGGGCTCCGCCTGTGTTGTTTCATCAGGTTCCCTGGAACTTGACTTGCAGTGCTTTCTTAATGTCTGAAACTGACCCCAGGCAAGCCCAATTCCTTTCTGCTGAAGGTAGTTACTGTGGGTATTTTCCCCTTTGTTTTCCCTCAGAGATCAGTTACATTTCTTTGGCAGGAGAGGAGGGCTGGGAAGAAGAGGCAAGAGCAGTGCAGAGATCCTAGGAAAGGATAACTCCCTGCAGGAGGGGGTTGCCCCCCCGGCCGCTCACCTTGAGGCCACCCCCTCCATCTCCAGCGCTCCCTGCTCAGGCCTGAAGGATGTTTTCCTGGACTTATCCACACATCTACAGCTTGCACTGAAGTTCCTTTTATTTGTAGAGATTGGGGTCTCACTATGTTGGCCAGGCTGGTCTCACACTCCTGGCCTCAAACAATCCTCTGGCCTCAGCTTCCCAAAGTGCTGGGATTACAGGCTGAGCACGTCACCTGGCCTGACATTCTTGAATAATAATCAGCATCTGGACTGGAACGTGCCTTTTGCAAAGCACCTGTGGGAACATTAGCTCATCTGGCCCTCAGTGCACCCCTCTGAAGTAGGGATTATTGTCCCTGACTCTCAGATAAAGAAACTGAGGCTCAGAGATATCAAATGACTTGTCAGAGTCCCACAGCTAGGAGGTTATAGACTTACCCCCAGGATGTCTGACTCCAAATGGCAGGTTGATGTCCTCATCTGTAAACCAGGAGAAGAGGTGGGCAGGAAGGGGAGTGGTTCTGCAGTTCTCACGGGAGCTGGCGAAAGAGTACAGGAGAGGGATAGAGAAGGAGTGGGCTGCTTCACCAAGGGAAGGTTCCCGGGCCTGGCTCCCAGCGGGAAACCTACACGCAATCACAGAGCAGCATCTCAAATGAAAGTTTGTCACCAGATCTCGAGTCACAAGCCCACTACCCCTCCTTGTGTCACATACACACACACACTGCCACTGCCCCCCCCACACACCTTCTTTAAGGACAGTCTCAAAATTGAAGACAAAGACCCAGAGTGACTTTAACGGGATGCTCCATCCCACACTGGCCCCAGTATCCTGCCCACCCTGACCCTTGCTTCTCCTAGATGTCCAGGGCTGGAGAATGTCCTGCAGTGGAGTGGCAGCAATCACAGGAGTAGGTCTCAGGTGAGTGTGGCTGTGCAGGGTCAGGGCTCCAGCATCGATAGATGGTGGCAACCCGGGACAATGTGAGGGAGTATGTGGTGTACCCGGGAGTGTTTCAGGTGTCTGAGGGCCCTCGTGGGGCACCGAGCTTACTGCTGCACCCCCACCCCCTGGGCTCTCTGCCAGGGTGTCGCCTGGAAACTCAGCGGTCTCTGGCTCTTCTAGAAGTACCAGGCATCGCTGTCAACACCTCTCACTTTTTATCTACTCTGCACATTTGACCCAAGACCCATGGACTGACCGTGTGTTGGCCCTCACTCTTCCCCTGACCTTTCCATGTCTAGCGTGCTAGCTGGGGAGCCAGGCGTGTAAGTCAGGCTTGACCATCACACTGCACTGTGGGGGAAGAAATTTCTTTTTATTTATGTATTATGTTATTTTTATTTATTTATTTATTTTTGAGACAGAGTCTCGCTTTGTTGCCCAGGCTAGAGTGAGTGCCATGGCGTCAGCCTAGCTCACAGCAACCTCAAACTCCTGGGCTCGAGTGATCCTTCTGCCTCAGCCTCCCGGGTAGCTGGGACTACAGGCATGCGCCACCATGCCCGGCTAATTTTATATATATATATCAGTTGACCAATTAATTTCTTTCTATTTATAGTAGAGACGGGGTCTCACTCTTGCTCAGGCTGGTTTTGAACTCCTGACCTTGAGCAATCCGCCCGCCTCGGCCTCCCAAGAGCTAGGATTACAGGCGTGAGCCACAGCGCCCGGCCTTATTATGTTATTTTTAATTGACAAGTAAAATCGTATATATTTACAGCGTGTAACATGATGTTCTGATATATGTATACACCGTGGTGTAGGGGAAGAAATTTCAAACCTTCCAGCACCGTATCAGCTGGGGGCAGCTGACCCCGCAGCAGGAGGGAAGGAGGTAAGATCGGCGCAGAACTCAGCAGCACTGCGTCAGCCTTTCCCTGTGCAAACCCATGAAGACTGGAGAAGCTCTCCTGCCCCTTTGGGAAAGGGATCTATCTCCTCTAAGATGACGGCCAGCGAGTTAGATCAGGAATGTCGCAGTCCCCAGCGCGGCAGCCGCAGCAGTGCCAAGCTACAGGCAGCAGAGGGAGCTCTTGCCTAACCTTTCCGGGTGCGGGCCCGGAACTTTGCGCGCGGGCAGGACTCCGATCTCTGCAGGTAGTGTACGGGTCCCTGCAGAGGGGGCCGGGGCGGGGTAGGAACAGGGATGACAGGGGCTCGTCTCTTCCCCTTTAAGCGCTCAACCAGGAGAGGGAGCAGCCTCTTGCGACGGCCCAAGGAGGTTCTTTCTCAGCTCCCTACCAGCAGAGACAAAGGGGCCCTTCCTCTGCCCCACCCCACGCCCAGCCCCTGAAAGAGCGTCCCCCACACCTGCGGGTTCCAAGTAGGAGCCCCCCGGCCGTGCCCTTGTCATTCCTTGCCGCGGCCCTCCACTAAAGGCTCCGTGCTAGGAAGTGGGGGTGAAGCGTACTCACATAAGGGCTAGTGGTTTGAGGGTGGGACCGCGTCAGGGTGGACACTGAGGTTCCGGGGCGGAGGGACGTTGGGGAGAAGGGGTGCGGAGGGGCGCGTGCTGCTGTTGAGCATCTCCACAAGTGCCGCTAGGTGGCGCTCAAAGCCCGCGTCACAGAGAAGCGCGGGCTTTTGAAGAGCGGTGCTCAAGTGGAGGGGGCTGGCTGGGGGAGCCGAGAGGGCTGGAGGAAGAAGGAGCCTGGGTCCAAGCATCTTCCTCACTGAAACAGAGGGACAGCCCAGTACACTGGGACCTATGAAGCGGAGCAGCCATCGTTCCCGGAGGCTTGGAAGGGGAGCGACGAAGAGGAGGCCGAAATGCACCCTCCGACCTTCCCGGGAACTGGAGAGAGGCGGGGACCCGTGTCTCAGTCTGATGCCGGCACACCTGCCTCTCCGGACTTATCGATTCCATTCTGAGGACGCCGCGTTTTGGAGTTCAGATTTCGAGTTTTGGAGTTCAGATTCGGCCTGGGAGTCAAAAACACAAGAGCACGCCCATCTGTCTTTCTCCCAAGATTTGCGGGTCAGTGCGTGAGCACCTGCGCTTGCTGGGTTCCACCTCTTGGGACTGGGGTGAGCAGAGGGTGTGGATCTCCGCACTTCTGGGCTCCCTTCCTTGATCTTCCTTCGGACACCCTCAGCAGCTGCTCTTTGCGCTGGGGAACCTGCTCCAAGCTTCCAGGAACTGCATCCCAGGGCCCAGAAGGAGAGGAGCAAGGGGGTCTAAATGCATCTAACCCGTTCCCCAAATCAGAATTAGTCCCTAGAGGACACTGCCGCGCCACACCCTTCCCTGCCTGAGGCCTTCCCTGGACTGATGCCCCAAACTTGTGGGGTCCCTCCTCTAACCCATCCCTGTCTCTCGACGCTTGGCCGGGAGGTCCCATCCCTCCCATGCCGCTCCTCGCCCTCCCAGTTCAGTCGGGGGCGCTGTGTAGAGGGAAAGGAAGACCTGGCGAGACCAGTGGCCGCGCTGCCGGCAGCGCAGGTGTTAATCCGGCCTGGCCAGACGTCTAGGAAATCGAGATCCGATGAGGGACGGTAAAAGCCACCGGCGGCGCGGGGTCAGGCCTAGCGGACTGGAGCTCCCTCGTGAGACCTGGACCCACTGGCTTCTCCCTGAAAAATAGAGTGTGGTGGGATGAGGATGCGATCTCATTGAAGGAGAGAGAGAAATCTGGAATCAGGGACTTAAGAGGGCGGGGACTGGGACTTCCGAAGGTGCTTCCTGGCCGGCCGCGCCCACTTGCCCAGCTCCAGAGCCGCTAGCAGCGTCGTTGGAGGTTGCTAAGCTTCTTGGAAGGGAGCTTAGGAAGGGGTACGTGGAGCTTGAAAGGACTCCGTCTCGCTTTGGGGCTGCAAAGTCCCTTCAACTCCGGGGCCCTCGCAGGCGCCCCCACCCGCGCTAGAGTGCAGTAGCTGCGAGCACAGCACTCTGGGATATGGGCCTACCGAGTAGGCGATCTCAAACGGAACGAATCTAAGGTTCTGGGAGAGATTGGGAGAAGTGGAGGGTCGAGTGTCTGCCGCCCCAGGTGTGCCACCCGCTTAGCAGCTTTGGCTCTATGGGCCCACAGGCCCCCACCCCTACCCCTCGGGGAATGGAGCCCGCCCCTGAGAGTCCCTGTCCCCTCCCCAGGCCGGAGGTATTAGTGCTGCTTGATCAGACCTCATTTCCTGCGAAAATGTTAACATATCCAGGGTCCTTAATAAAGTGAATGACGAGGTTTCAGTATAATTGGGCTTCCATTTGGTGGCTATTTCCTTAAACTGACAGTGGAAAAAATGTAAACCCACAGCGCCCAGACATAATTATGTGATTATCAGAAGGAGTGTAGAGTGGATCAGTAGAAACCCGGAGCAACAACCTATGGTCTGAGAAATGGGCACAAACGCTTACCCAGACGGAAGGACCCAGGCCGCCCCGGAATTCCACACCGGCCCCGAATCCAAGCGCCGCCTCTGCAACCTTAGGCCTCTCCTCCCAGCCTGAGACCCGCCCTACCACTGCCCTCAGAACACGCGGGATCTTTATTTATACGCTGGGGCCGCGCAGGGGTGGGTCTTTTCCTTCCTCAGAGAGGAGGAGCGTCCTCCAGGGCAGGGGGCGGCCGGGCTGCAAGTCCCCTGACCGTTCCCGGCCCTCTTGTGCGCTGGCTGCATATTTCTATGCATAATCCAATTTTCTCCGTGACTATCTAGTTAAACTCTTTAACAACAGCTACATAATTAGAATTTGGATTCCCATTAATTTTCCTTGGGCCTCGAACCATTTGCAGCTCACACTGGTAATTAATGCGATACATCACTAACTTTACCCAGCGCAGGCCAGGCTGGTTCAGGTCAGTCGGCCCGCGCCCGCCGCACCCGCGCGGGACCCTGACTCCGGACCCTGCTTCCGGGTGGGGACCGTTTTCCTCCCTCCAAAGCCGAATGCCTCGGCCCGCGCACCCAAAGCCTTCTTTCCAGGAAATTTCACAATTAAAAATATTTATCGGGAGCAGATTTACGTTTCTGGGTTTCCAGTCTCGGGGCGTCTGGGTAGGCTATTAAGAGTAATTAGCATCTTTTGCGCATGCAGATTTACTTCGCTCATTGCCACATAACTCATCCCTAAAAGCCGGCGCAGGCGAACGCAGGCGCCGCCGCCAGAGCTACTGCCGCTGCCTGGGTCTGACTCGGGCTCCCCGGCTCTGCTCCCGCTCTATGCGGCCGGCTCCCAGTCTCCCCGGCTGAGTTGTCCGCTCCAGGCCCGGGAGGCCGCAAGCGGAGCAAAAAGGCTCCCATCCTGGAGACAAATGACGCCAGAGCGACCTCAGGCGGCGGGGGTGGGGGTAAGGCCCAAGCACGCTCTGCCGGCTGCCTGGACCACGCCGTCTGATCCCCAGGCATCGCGACCGTGCGCGTGTGTGCACCAGCGAGTGGGCGTCTCTGTGTGCACGCTCGCGTGCGCGAGTGCACATGAATGTGGTTGCTAGTGCGCGCTCCTGAGAATGCGCGAGGACGCGCGTGGAAAACGAGTTGATTTCTATCCCACCCTCCCCTGCGGCCCACCGGTTCCCGGGACGGTAACTCAAATGCCAGTCCTAGGCCACTCAGCCAGGGTATTGAGGTTCAGAGGGAGACTCGGGCCCCTACCTTGCCTCGATTTCCCTTCTACAGAGCCAGCTGCATCCAGTCGGATGGCCTGAAGCACTCAGAGCCCAGCTGGCGATGGGGATTGGGAGGCCCGACGCCCGGCCGCGTCGGAGCGCGCGGCTTGCGTGGTACCGGTGAGAGGCCGCCAGAGAAAGCGCAGGCAGAGCCGGGGGTCACTGGACAGACTTTCGGGGCCGCTGGGGGGCGGCGGGAGACAGTGAGGCCAGGCCAGTGAAAGGATTTGGGGGTTGAGGAGTAGGAATGGGAGAGAAGGAGGGAGGAGGCAGCGGACAAAGGGACAAACTGGTGGTGAAAGGGCCAGGGCCAAGGAGCGCGGCTGTGGCTCCCGCGCTCCGGGCTGAGACACCCACCCCGGGTTCGTTATTAACGCGCTGGGAAGTCCGCGAGCCGCCCAACTTTCTACTCTTTAATGAGCCTAGAAGAAGAGGCTGCCCTGAAGGGGTTTGTTCATTAAAGATGTAGCTGGAGGAATATTGTCTCATTAATTATCTGGTTTTAATTACACTCCTACCCTTTGAATCCGGAGATGGGAAAAGTTGATTTGGTGGCGCCACCCCCTTTAGCTTAAAGAGTGAGGCCGGCCTAGGAGACCGGGAGGGGGAGATGGGGACTGCCTGGAAGGGTGTGGGCGGGTGTCTGGGGTATGTCCAGCCAAGAAAACCCGTGTAAGGGGGCTCCATGCCCTGGTGTTGTGTAGACAAGGTCTGCGTGTGGATATGAAAATGTGCGCGTGTCTGAATGTGTATGAGTCCGTGTGCCTGAGAGGCTGTGTGGACGTGACTAGGGTGTCTATGTGTCCTCCGGCCTTGTGTGGTTCTGTGTCTGGGTGTGCATGTGGGTAGCTGAGTGTGTCTGCACACAGGCTGGAGAGCAGGGGTCTCAGTGAGCAGCACTGTGACTGGGTAGCTGTGACTATGGTGTCTAAGACGGTGGCTTCCTGCTCCTCACCTCAAGTGACGGTGTCTGACCATGTCTCTGGGGCTGTTGTGCCTGGATGTGCCCCCAGGTATATAAATGTCGGGTGGGGGTGGGGGCGGAGGGGTTGTCCATGGCTGGAGCGTCCTGGGAGTTTGACTGCTCCAAGGACACGTCTCATTTCTGAGAGTACCCAGAGCTGGGGCGCCAACAAGAAGCCATGGTCCTGGGGGGGAGTTATTTAAGGGGGAGTGCGTCCCTGCCTCGTCCCTTGTCAGGCCCGCGCAGCGCTAAAGCGGGGGCCGTTTTCCCTTTAAATCGTGGACACTTTGACAGGGGACATTAAGGACCCGGCTGCTCAGGCTGAGCAGATCATAAAACCGGACAGGCAATTTCTGCTCCCGCCAAATAGCCGGGCAAACTCGTTCTGCATCTTTGGTTTTAATGCACTAAACTGGCAGCTAAGCAGGGAGCGAGCAAAGGAAGGGGGGCAGGAGCCCCCCCACATACACCGGCGCACACACCAGGCACACGCACAAACACCCCTTCACACCGTCGCGCCCCACGCCCCGCCCCTGACCCCCCCACTGGCGGAATTATCAACTAGAATTTGATTAATATGCAAATCGCAGGCAAACAGCTCCATATAATTCTTTCAGTGGAGAGTAATTAATCACCAGTTAAAGCAAATTAATACATATATCAATTTTGTCAGAAACATGCTTAGTTCAATCGCCCGTAAAATTGAAGTTTGAAGTATTAAGAGGCTCTGCAGAAACGCCAGGACTAAAACTTTCAAATTGATCCTATTTAGTAATCAATCAGGCTCTCCCCTCAGGTTAATCTGCCTAATTTTTCATCTCAAATCATACACTTTACTGACACGCCATCTAGCAAACAGTCGATAAAAAGTTAACAAAAATGATAACGACTCCAGCCAAAGCCATTGTGCAGGGCGGGTGGGCGGCAGCAGCTT